TGCATGATAATTTAAATCTATGAAGCCAGAAGTTGTATGTAAGATTTCTAACTCTTGATCTCACATAGACAACAGAGAGGGTTCCCAATGAGGTGAAAAAGTGAATGAGACTGTGTAAAGAGTCCTCCATGCATGCAGCACCACAGAAGCAGCGACAGGGCTGGTGCAATGCACACAGCAGAACAAAAGGGCTCCTGCATCACCAACTGTGCAAGTGATCTGAACTGGTCATGAAGAAAAAAAACCCTCACAGATTCACTATTAATGTCCCAGTGAGTGAGTTCCCTAACATTTCTTGTGTATAAAACACGAGAAAAGTTGATGCGCAGCCATTCAGAGTGCAACTGTACCTCAAAAGACTTAGCTGCAATTTATTCCTCTCCCTGATCCCAAACTTTGCTTTGGCAATGATGATTCATGAAGATCAGTGACCTACAACATAAACTGCCATACTAAAATCTACGAATAAAGATACTTAACTGATTAAATACTAACATTTCAAAACACCTCATCTTTTTTAAGTTCAAAAATTCAAGGACTTGCCTTCTCTAGATTGATACGGTTGGTGCCAATATCAGCCAGGTCTCATCTCATCTTGGGCTTTTGTTCTGAGGAAAAGTCCTTCTAATATTCATTCATGTAGGGATGCATCAGTAGACTAAAAGACATATCAGATACAGCTGAAATCCTAACAGCACAAAGGAGCAAGTCCCCACAAGAAACTGAAGGTTTGAACACTATGTCTCCTTACAAGAAATACAGTATCAACATACATGCATTTCTTGAATTTGCTGGGTTTTCTCTCCCTTCTGAGACAAGGAAAACAACAGAAAAACCTCACATAAGGGGAAGAAATATGCTAACAGCAACAACAGGAATTTTTTTTTCCTTTTAAATTGCCAATGTAGAGTTCAGTTTCATTCCAGGAAAAGGTAACAGTTTTAGAAGTTACCTCATTCAAAGGCTAAGAGCTAGCTACTACTGTCTGTTTAAAAGTGAAGGACCAAACTGAAGATGTAGTTCTGGTTCTCAGGTTCCTTTTAACTACTCAACACATCATCTCTGAATTGAAGTAGAGGATTTGCTATCTGAAGAAGTGGACATCAAAAACTTTCAGGCAGGAAGTATACAAACCATACAATAAGAGTTAAACAACTAAAGACACTTTGTGGTATTTCATTTACTAATGAAGATCCAGAAACGGAATAGAAAGAAGGATGAAATAAAAAATTCTCCAGTTATTTCAGTATGAGTAGCTGTGGAGACACTTTTTCAGAACTTATGAACAGATAGAAAATAAGTTTACTGTGACTGCTGTGACTTCTGCACGCACGTACACACGTACATGTTATTTTGTAGGTGATGAGTTTTTGCATTGATGTTATGCCTGAACAGGAAATTCCGGGCAGAGCAAAGCTATTAAAGACAGGCAAAAGACTTCCCTTACAGTAAATCGCACACTACTAAGAGATACATGTTGTTACAAATTGCAAATTTTAAATCCAGACAGAATGTAAAGGAATCATGATTGCTTTTAATTGTTCAGGTTCGGGTAAGAAACATCTTTTGCCAAACCTGCCATGTTGGCTGGAAGATCATTTTTACATCCAGAAAATAGAAAAACTTCTCTACAAAATATCAAATCCTGGGTTACCATCCTTCAGACAGCTGGGTAGAGCCATGCTCCCCAAAAGACCTATTTAAGCCAGGCTGCCTTTGAAAACCTGCGAACATATAGCTCATTTAGACTTCTGAATGAAAACCTTGCAGTCCTCCCACGTATGCATTTCTACTGGATTTTGTGTGTGCAACTGGGAAGTAAGGAGAAGGGTGGACAGGGGAATTGACAACACTGAGATGTGTTTGTAGCCTTCTAACGCATGGTTTTATGCTAGGAATAATTAAGAAATCATGTGTTTACTAATGATCTACATGAAACATTGTCAAGGATACATTAGGACAGACCCAATACCCAAAGATCCACAGCCACCAGTCAAATCATCAATAACATTAATTTCTCAAAAGAAATAAAGGGACACAAAGCTTTTACTGCAATGTGGGTTTTTTTCCACTAGATGGAATTAGCATTATTAAAAAACCATCAGTGGGTATGTTCTTATAGAAATAGGGGCTGTTTACATAAGTCCTGGCATTAACTTCACTGCAACTGTTTAGACTAAAGACCTGATAGTGTTTCATAATAAATGCCACTATTAGAAATGCCTTTCAGAGTAACAGATTATTGACATGAAAACAACATATTGCTATAGACTGTTTTCCACATCTTGTTATTTTAACAAAAACGTTTTTATTTCAACATCACTTCGCTTCCTACCAGTCTATTTTAGCAAGTGCACCAAACTGTACTTGTTATCATCATCAAGATGGTAACATTACAGAAATTAAGAGACAAAACCTACCAGTGCAGAATTAGTACAGAACCTTTACTTCAAGAGAAGAGACAGGCAGTAATTGGGCTGAGGGGAGGCAAGCAGATAAGTGATAATGCCATTTCCTGCACCTTCAAGTTCTTCCAAGATAATCCACTTGAAGATGAATTAAAGATGGTTCCCCAAGAAACAGAAGATTTTAATCCTATTTATTTCTTTACAATATTAAGAAGGAGCCTGATAAATTTGCACATACTTCTAACAAAACACCCAAACTCCACCTACTATGCCCTGTAAAGCCACAATGGTAGAAACAGCAGCAAAGTAACATAAATTAGTGAAAAGCTGGGCAGCAAAAGGACTCTGAGCCAGATTAAAGAAAAAAAGATCCAGAACTTCTGACATTACGAATGAAGAACAAAACAGCGTGTCCTGTTTATTTTCATTTTGACAAATTAAAAGGCAGCTGACCACAGTTACTAAGTTTTTCTCATGCAGCCCACGTATTCATGGCTTTAACTACTGAAAAAATAGTGTAGCCTACTGTAGACAGCTGAAAGAACTCCAGCAAACCTTAAGAAGTAGTCCTACGTAATTTAACACTTTCAATTTGTTTTTCCAATCCTCTTTAGAAGGTAAGACTAGCACTGTTCCTCCAGACTAGTTTCAAGTAAAGGGAACCATTTCATCAAATAATAGACATAAGTTATATTTGTTCGTTCCAGTGCAGACAAAAAGATCTGTAACAAGTCTACAGAACTTTGTCCTTTCTATATCAGCAAAGTTTATCCCAGTACCTTTAATGGTCTTTATAGAATTACTTTAAAAGCATTCTTTAATGTTAAAGTCCTCAAGTCTATTTTTAAAAATATGTTCCTTAATTTGTTACTGAAAAATCAGTACGCATAATGATATATTGATATTGTATCTCTGTGAGTGATAATCTTTTAATGAACACTTCTGACCATAAATTCATAGCTGCTTTTGATTTTTGCAATTCAGTGAGATAACCTGAAGAATACATTAACATACTAAGTGAAGCTTTGGATCTAAACTACACTGTAGAATTCCTTCAACTTCACAGCACCAATATTAACCGTAATAGCTGAAGCACGGTTTGTGTAAGTAGGAAATAAAAAACATTCCTTAGCATGGTATTTGATCTAAACACTTTTTGTATGTAATGAAGTATTTTTAATGAAGTGCCACCAGAATATTAGTTTACATATCACTAGCTTTGGAATGGCAGCAGCATGAGTATTTACATATTCTGAAGGCTGTACTAAGTGAAGTTTCACGTGTCACACTCCTAAATACGTAAAAGTACAATGCACATGGAGAAGCAAAAAGCTGAAGATCAGTTCCCTAAAGCCTAAGTTCTGAACTCCAAGTAACAAAACGAAAGCTTATATTTTCCACCAAGACAGCTACCCAAGCATTATGCATACAGCTCTTCCAAATATGTCTTCTGATCATATTTAGCAATAGTGGTAGGGACCAAAAGCAAATCAAATTTGTATGCTTTGCAGAAACCATCCTCCCGCCCCCAACACTCAGGGGTTTGGGTATTACTTTTGTTTTGTTGTGGGAGATTTTTTGGTGGTGGTGTTTGGTTTTGGTTGTTTTTTTTTTTCTTCTTATCTGACAGCAGAAACAAGGAATAATCTGCTCTGTCCAATTTCATCCAGTGATGTAAAGTTTTCAAAATATTTCCAAATTACATAAAAGATGAAGTGTATTGTGAGTACATCATTTAAGTTAAAGCAAATATATTCTTTATGGAGCTGTTTTGCAAACTAAGAAGTGTATATTGCGATGTATGAGCTGTAAGAAATTAAAGCATAATTCTATTTGAGATATAGTCACAATCACAATGTTCAAGTATGCAAGGTAACAGAAGGAAATGTAATGCAAGTTCTGTTCCTTATGGCCTGAATTAAATGCTTTACTCCTCCTACTTTATGCAGAACATTAAAAGAATGTAGAAGAGTTGGAGGGATTTTTATAATCTTGACAACTCTGTATGGAGGCAATCCCCATTTCCTCCACATGGTTTAAATGACTAGTTACTACAAACCTGGGGGAGAATATACAATGTGCTTAGCGCAGAATTATTTTTTCCTAAAGCATCAAGCAAAACAGTCCCAAATCCGTTTGGGTCCTCCCAGAGTAACAGGTATAAGTGATACAGCTTAGAAATTTGCTCACCAGCTCCTGCAAAGAACACATCTACCACAACATCTGTGCACAGATTCTGTTAGAATATCATTATTGCAAGAACGCTGGAGCCCAATGTCTTTTCAAAGTAGTGATGTTTAAGAGTAATGTATTAGTAAAACAAGAAGAGAGCTTAAGAGTCAAAAGAAACAGGGAGAGCTCTACTTCATAAAATACACAATGCAGGTGCAAGTTGGAAGCATGGTTTAAAAAAAGAAAAATCCTTAGTTTAGGAAAGCACTGAACAAGCTCACACACCCAAAACTGAAATTCCATCATTTTATTGCATACCTTCTTTACAGTTTATCTGCATGCCTACAACCCCCAATCTCATGGTAGTCTGTAATATATTCACCTATAAAATTATGTGCCTTTGACATCTTCTGCAAGAAAGGAATAGTTGTCAGAAGCTATTGTTATTGCTCAGTAAGATTGCAACAAGAGAAAGAGAAAGCTCAACAAGGCCAGTGGAAAGGCACCAGAAGTTAGCGTACACAATGGTGGACAGAAAACTACTGAACTGATGCTAGGATTATTTGCGTGTGCTATGCATGATGTGATCAAAATGTGCTTGTTTTCTCTACTTAAATGCTCTTCTTTTCTTAAGAACTGAGAAAAAGCGACTACCTTGCCTCTGAAGAAACCAGAATGGAAGGCACTCCCATGAAAAGAACAGAATCCGCTGCGTGAAGATGTGTGTTCTGAAGTAAAAGTGGTCACAAAGATTACGCTTTGGAGAAAGATAAATGTATTCCTGATCCAGAAACAGCTGTTTCTACCAACATTAGCAGTAGAGAAAGTGTCCTTACATCCACCTCCATTGTTTAGAGCTGAAGTGGACAGTAAACAGAGTAACGCCATTGTGAACTGCAGCCTATCTGAATATTATAAGGCACCTACAGCAGCAGCCAAACAAAAACTTGTTTGGAGGATTTAAGACAGGGATGTAATACAAAAATGTAGACAAGCTGATACTTCTGTATTGTGAACACCTATTTAAAAAAAGGTTTTCCCCCTCCTGAAATACCCCAATCAGTACTTTTGGTACACATACCTCGAAGAATTCTCTCCTCATGGCAACGTAGAAAGTCCCAGATTCTAACAGTGCCGTCGTCAGAGCATGTAGCAAATTTATTATCCGTGGGTGAGAAACTGTTACATGAAGACACACAGCAGGGGAAAGAAGTCAGCATTTAACAGATTATCTATGCTTCTCAGACAGGGCAAAATTATACTGTAATGTGTTATACACTGAAAGATGCATTTGAACACAGGGACTTTTAAGTGAATACGGTGCCTGCCAAATGACACTTCACAAGACATGAATTTAGCATAGGATTACTATTGCATTGCAGTCCCCTGTCACATGAGGAAAAAATCCAGAATTTATTCTTAGCACCTTCCTACCTACGACTGCACACGGTAGCGCCTTCTCTGCAGGATGAGAAGCAACATCAATACGATTTAGTAACTGTCACCCTAGATTTTCATGTTTGGTAATACCATAAGAAAGTGACACTGTGTAGAACACGGGAGAACAGTTCTTAGGAAAAGACTCCTCTTCAGCCACAGGTGCTTTGCAGCAGAGAAGCAAAAATAAGGGAATGCTGGTCACAGGAAAATGCTAGTTGGATTAACTGTTGAAAAAATTGTATATATAAAACAAGTGTACCACTTATTGTAAAAGTAATTTGGAAAAAATCCCTCTTATTACACCCCATCAACACCATGAAAAGAATCCTACAGACACAGAAGCAGCTTCCAGTCAGTATCACTTGATGAAAGTCCCTGGAAAAGCAAGGAGTTATTTAGCCACGTGATTAGGGCCAGAACATCTCCAGCAACTGACAGGCACTCACTTCCTTCCTAGTGCAGTGAAAGACCATGATGGAGCCCTTGTGAAATCCTGGATCTTTATGATCAGGAAAGGGCTTAAAATAGTAGAGAAATTCAGTATATAGCCATGATAGTCAGACAGTAACTGAATCCAATGTAAGCACTTCTCATAACCAAACTCTGGCAGAAAATGCTGCACCCTATCAAAGAAAAATGGTGACTTTAGTAGAAAGTGGTTTTGCGGCAGTGAACCTTTATCACCAAGGGCCAGCACCTGAACCCGAAGAAACACTGCTTTAGCTTCATTTTGGATCTGCAGCTTCTCTTCAGGCTTACTTTAAAAACATTTCCATATCTTACTAAAGATTATGTGCAGGTTTGCTTTAGAAACATCCTTCATTTACATCTTACTGATAGTATCACTTTAGATTCCATTTTTTGTATAGACATTTGCACAGCTGAGGCATCAACACTGAACCAAGAGAATATCCTACAGTCTTCTTTTCAATGGCTTGCTTACAGTTTCAAACTTGAAGAACCCATTCAGTATTAACATTAGACTTCTGTATGTGGCAGTCTGCGTGGGTATTTAGTATTACTGGAAGTCTTGGCTTCACCAAGCCAAGCAGTTCTTCACTTTATTTAGTGTTTTATTATTTTGTGAGAACTATGCAGGTGTTTTATTTCTGAAGGCTTTATATTTTATTCAGTTAGATTATTAAAGACTGAATTCTTTATTTGGAATGAAATTGTTGTCTTACACAGTGCGTATAAAAAGGAATAACTGATACACATCGTCACCATATAAAAATGAAAAGAATACCAGTGCAAAATGCGGCAGACAAATACATCTCTAACATATTGCAGAGGCGGATACTGGGACAATACTAATTCAGAAAGGTGCCAGCAAAACGGTGAGAATGTGGAAACAAAAGAAAATATTGTGTTTATGTGGTGCAGGAAGTTTCCCAGAATCTGACAGAACCCATGCATTTCTGCACCCAGAATACACTTAGAGAACAGTCTAATCATGGCAATAGGTACTACAGAAAATGGTATATTGTGTATAAACCTGGCCTCTCTAATCGCCTCCTTATGTGCCTGGAACATCTTGACGTTGTTCATGTTGGACTGCCAGTATTTCACATATCCCCCGTGGTCTGCTGTCAGCATCCACATATCATTGTGTGACCAAGTCATAGCCCTTACAGGGCTGTCGTGAGCCTGTAAATTCAGAAACAAAACTTCTAGCAAACACATTCAAATACGGTCTGACCCACACAAACACAAAAGTTAGCAAAGTTCCTACTTAACAGCTGCCAACGAAGAAATGAAAATAATGATGATCTAGTTAGATTCAGGATGTTACTGTGGGGGGAAAAAAATAATTCCCTTACTTTGTATACAATAGACTTCTAAATAATAAATGAAGAGTATTTGCATTTTGTTTCCAAAGTGTTTCTTTATTATTACAAATACTCATAGTATGTTCTTGAGAAGTTAGTATAGCATATGGAGATGGAATGAGAAGCGTTAAATGAATTGTCTATAGCCACGGTCTGACATAGGGTCAGAGCAGAATTAAAAAAGGAAGACCTCTAAGGCTCCCATTACCACATTTAGACCACAGACCCATGATGAGCAGGGTAAAGATGTGTTCCTAAATCATGCTCTGAAACCTCAAGGAAATACACAGAAATCTTGATAGATGAATTTACCTGCAATATCGTTTCAAAATTGAAAGTCAGTCCATTCCATAAAGTGAACTCTCCACTAGATGCACCAGTGACCAAGCGTCTCCCCTCAGGAGTCCACTGCAAAAGAAAAATTTAACTAAACTGTGCAAATATAACATTCAAATATTTCTTCACAATCGTCCAAATAAATCATAAGCTTCTTCCAGGGTATCTGCAGAACTGGAATTTACTAAGTTACTTTCCAAACAATGCAAGATAGACAAAAATGCAGAACTGTGCCAGAGGGCTTTTGACTTTTGTAACAACAGGACAAAACCCACTGTAAAAGCAATGAAAAAAATCTAGTTGTAGAGAAGAAACAGCTTACTGACACCAATACATTTCTAGCACACAATATCCATACTAAACAATACTGCTGACATCACAGAAAAGTTGTTAAAAAGATGCTACAAGAGTCAAACATCACAGAGACCTAATTGCCTTTTTTTCTGAAAGTCAAGATATATTAGCCGCCCCAAATGAAAAAACAAAAAAACCCACCTCAAACTCTTGAGTAAGAATTTTTTTGTGCTCAGACCTTAGCAATTAATTTCCTAAAACCCTCCACAGAAAGACTAGCTACAGAAATAGTCTATATATCGCACATGCAAGTTTTATTTGGAAATGCTTTAACTGTGATCTTGTTTCTCTCTTCAGTTAAGAATATGACTGTAATTTAAATTAAGACAATACAGCTAAGTATAACTAACACTATACTCACCCTGACAACAAACACTGGGCATTTTACTTTATTAGTAGATGTCCGAACAAACTTTGTTGTCACAGCGTTCATAGGGTTGTTCAGCATTCCTATAGGAGGGACCAACTATGAGAGAAGAAACAAAAGATTTAATAATGACACTGCTCGCCAGAAACTGCAAGAGAAGCACACATTCTGAACACCTATTTTTGGAAAAGCAAGTTTTTCATTTGCAGGGATATTATTGGAAGTAAATCATAAAGACTTTTGCATGTTTCTACCAACTATCTGAAACATCCAGAACCATCATCTTCAAGAGCTGCTTTGCAAGTTCAATGAGTTTGCAACTTGATGAGAGTTCTCACATCCAAAAACTAAAAGGCTATTCAGTTCCTGGTTCTCTTCGTAGACAAGGATTGCAACAGAACAAGATAATGTAGAGTGAAGATACCCTTTGTGTCTTTAAGGCCTCTTGTGGACAAAAAGATAGCCTCAGCTGATGGGCAGAATCCTTAAAAAGATTTTACTTACATCATTATAATATCCTGCATCAGGCTGGATTGCTCGCATATCTCGCTGGTCTCTCTGCCATACTCTATTCTGGAAAGAGGAAAACAAGAACAAGTTCATACCGCCACTACACCTTATCGTTAAATAACAGAAAATAAGGAACACATTGACAGCCTGTTTGGGAAATTCCAAAGCACTCCAAAGATTTTTAGAATAAACTCAGTTAAAAGACTTCAGTCTCAGGAAGCCTGTAAAATTTTGTACAGCATAACCAAAAGATTGAAGAATGTTTAAGTCTTAATTTCACCAGAGTAAAGCAGCTCATTTAAAATTGCAGCTTAACAATATGAAAGGAGCAGTCCTATGTAATAAGCCACATAATTGTAACAAAGATGACTGGTACTTTGCTGCCCAGGCTAACAGGTACTCTTACAAGAAGCACGTTCAATCACTTCAAAAGCCTTCCTTTCAGGATAAGCATTTACACCATTAGGAGCTGTGCTGATGAACTCTAAATGAAATCCCACATAGTGACATGAGCTAGAAAGGAAGCTTCTGTGGCTGAAGCATAAAGATAATAATGCATTCAAATGGATACAACTTAAGACCACCAGGGGATAAAAATGCCTTCAATTAGTTAAATTCTGTGAGCTGTGAAGTACAACCTTTTCAAAAACACTTTACAAAAATTAAAAGTGAAATTATTTCAGCTTCTTTCTGTAGATATTTACCAATTTGGATCTGTGTACGTATCAGAAATGTAAACTAAAATTCTAGGTAAAACATTTCCAGCATACACTACCACAGTTCGCTAGAATTTCTTAAGCCAAGAGCAAGTTACATATACACCATTTTTCTCATTTTTTTTTTTAGAGAAGCACATCAAATTAAATCAGCAATATTGAAGCTGGGACTGAAATGGAATTCTGGTATATCCTAATTTTGTGTAAGTGTCCAAAATATACAGATCTGTTTTTTTGTTGTTGTCCTCTTTTTAATAAACAGAAGTTTGAGGGTGCTTATTTCTGTCACAGTAAAAAAGGTCCTGAACTAATAAGTTATTTTTTTATAATTAGTCCACTACTAATAGAATCTTTTTTCAGGCTGTCCTGGTTTCAGCTGGGATAGACTTAATTTTCTTCCTAGTAGCTGGCATAGTGCTGTGTTTTGGATTTAGGATGAGAAAAATGTTGATAACACACTGATGTTTTAGCTGTTGCTAAGCAGGGCTTACACCAGTCAAGGACTTTTCAGCTTCCCCTGCTCTGCCAGGGGCACAAGAAGCTGGGAGGGGGCACAGCTGACCCCAGCTGACCAAAGGGCTATTCCAGACCATATGACATCATGCTCCAGATATAAACTGTGGGGAGCTGGCTGGGAAGCAGCAACCACTGCTCAGGGACAGGCTGGGCATCGGTCAGCAGGTGGTGAGCAACTGCATTGTGCATCACTTGTTTTGTATATTCTCTTATCATTATTACAATTATTCTTTTCCTCTGCTGTTTTATTAAACTTTATCTCAACCCATGGGTTTTACTTTCCCCCTCCCCCCAATTCTCTCCCCCATCCCACTGGGGAGCAGGGAAGTGAGCGAGTATCTGTGTGGTGCTTAGTTGCAGGTTGGGGTTAAACCACGACAAGGGCATTCCTAAAACATAATCTTATGTTTTAAGAGTTTGGTGTTGAAACAGGTCTTAGAAAATAATTTAAGTTTATTATTAAGAATACCATCTAAGTGTTAACACTTACAAGCTATAATCATGCACTGGCCACAGCAGATAGAGTTAATTTCATCATGTTTTCTCAATGTCACTGTTGAGATTCCAACAATTCCTGTATTTACAGATTTTATTCTATTTCTTCTAAGCTAATATCCAGCACTTGTACAGTAAATCTTGATCATAAAATTGTATTTCTTAAGAAATTAATACCACCCCATCAGGAAGCTAAATAAACATTTTTACAGAAACATTCATTCAACAAAACTTCATTTAAGTTGTTCTGTATCTATTAACTGTACCGAAAGGGATTTTCAAAGACCACAGTGCAAGTTGCAGTGCTATTTAGTAAAATGATGAGAAAACATTATTATCGTGCCCTGGTTTTAGAGGGGAAGGGGTAATGATTTCCCATTTCAGGAAATTTCTATTTCAAAGCAAAAGAACAATGACATTATTTATGAGTTCTTATGTTCACTGAACAGTCAGAACATCACAAAAGACACTCAGCTGCACTCAAGTTGGAATTCCAACACAAAATGTAAGAATTGGTGTTTACACAAACTATGAAATCAGCTGTCTATATGTGCAGTTTTATTACCAAGGACCAAACCCTTTTGTATTCATACTATACCAAATTTAAAAGCATTTGTCACTTAGTTTGAAAACGCAGCAACAGATCTCCCAGTATTCCAGAACGCTCTATGGACACTCAAAAGCACAATCACAAATTTCAGGAAGGAAAAAAGTTTTTCAAACAAAACCAGAAAATTAACTAACCTCCAAATATTTAATTACAGAGGGATTGTAGTCTATGGTCTTTCGGTTCACAGCTTTTCTCATCCGCTTCCCATCAAAAGTAAGCTGTTGCATTGCTTGCTGCTGTGCAAAATCAGGTCTTTTGTAGAACAGCTGCCGAGGTGCCTGGTGCTGGAACCTCGGCATATGGAAAAATCGGGGCGGGGAGCCAATTTCTGTGGCCATGGCTATCTTGTTTCCGAAAGACTGCAAAAAGTGAAACACCAGGTTACTATACAATAATGACAAAAATCCTCCATTAATATCTCCACTGCCTTAAGTTTACATTGATGAATAACAACTTCATAAATCACTGTTTATTGCAAAGAAATATTTACGGGTTCCTCTGAACGATAATTATTATTCCCCTGTGCCGCGTAACACTGACATTAAAGTCATTAAATACTTTGTTCTCTATCAAGAGAAATTTCGTATTGAAACAGATCACTATAAAGTTTGCATTAGCATCCCTAAACTAGAACTGTGCAGGAAAAGAACGTCTTAGTAACAACAGTATAAATAAACGCAAGAAATGTAAGACCCTTCAACAGAAGATATTTCAGATTCAATATAAAACAGGAAACACCACATTAGTTACAAGTTAATTTAACTATTAACAAGGAAAAAAGTTTTAAATGGCTGCCTCAAAACCTTATTCTAGAGCCTGGAAATAGAATTACATTCCTTTTACATAACTCCTAGTTAATACACCACAGATCACATTCAACCTGTAGGTATACTTTCAATTCCATTATCGAAAATTAAATGGACTACGTATTTATCAAGGTTTGATAAATGTAACCAAATATAACTTCCCCCCAACAAGACCCACTGAGAATGTTAAGAAAACGTGAGGGGCAGGGAAAAAAATTCAGATTTTTTTTTCTGATAGAGGGAAATGAGTCTAAAACCTCATTTTTCAGTCTGTAAAATCCTTAAATGATGAGATCATAGCAACCTCTTCACACTGAAAACTACTAGTTGCCCTTTAAATATCAGTTTGTTGGCACAGGGCAGGGATTAACCTTCTTCAGGGGCTCTGCAAACCTGGAAGACACACGCTCCTTTCCCCTGCTAACTGAAAGTGCATCAGGCCAGCTATAAAACTAACCTGGCTGTTAGCTACACAAACAACTCTAACATACAAGGGGAAAACCCAAACTAAAGCCATTACAACTATTATCCCTTCAAGACAAACAAGTCCAAAGTAAAGTAATAACCTTAAATGAAGTAAGGAAATTTAAAATGTTTGGCAGGAATAGTATCTTTTTGTTAGATCAACTTGTATAACTGGAAAGAGACCAGCTTTCAAATAAACAAACCTTCACTGCCTGGCTGAAAGGCTCATTTGCCTGAAAGCTGCCCAATACCAATAAAAAGACACCTGGTCTACCTCCAAATACTGCCACATCCATAACAGCACTGTAACATCACAATTACTACAACATTTTTTCTTGTTTCACACAAGCTTAAGTATCATAACTTTCTCATGCAGGAAGTACATCAAGTACTCGTAACACCATCTCAGATTCTCTTACAACTTGCCAGAAGGTAGCTAACTGTTGTACAGAAAGTTTCAGGTGTTAAATCTCAAAGGTAAAATTAAAAGGATAGTAGTGGTTTTATATCAAAAAAGAGAAAGCAGCTTCTTCAAACAAGCAAATCAAGCTCGCATTAAACATGCAAGTCCATTAATGAAGTATTTTAATGTGGTTTTAAAAGTGTATGCATTACTCGGGGAAAAAAATACAAGAATATTTTCAGTGCTAATCTCTCTCAAGTCTAAAGATATACACACTCTTATCCCAACTAGTGTTTTAAACCAGAGAGGAAAAAAAAAAAAGATATTTTTCAAAGCCACACACCTATACTCTCTTATAGGCAATGCAAAAGCAAATCTCAAGAACCAAGACCAAGAGTGCAGACAAAGACATATTCTGGGGCTTCCAAAAACCCTTGATCAGATATATTTGCAAGAAAACATTACATAAAAATTACTTTTTAGAGAAACACTCCAAAGCAACAGGGTAAATCATCATTTATTCTCATCTTTCAAGAAAACAAACTCTCCCAAAGAATTTTAATTTCAATTACAGACATAGGTAAATAAAGCATTAGCTATGATATGGATCAATTTAGATTGGACATACCTAAAACTATCACAAACAGTGCCTACCTTAGATTAGCATAAACAACATTCACTTAATATGCAGTCAACATCAGCAAAACCTACTGTTTAAAAGGTGATCAAAGGCATCAACATGCTAATTACAGCTCTTCATGCCTACAGACGCTTCCAAGTTCATTATTATAACAAAATATGTGACATCACAACTACAACATGACAACTGAAATGACAGAGTCAGGAAAATGACGGGTTTATGTTCTGTTTATGTTCTAAGCTGCTTCTCCAACTTCTGATAACTGTCTCTATCACAAGAAGCCTCCTACTTGCAGTTACAAACTTGCAAAAATGTTTTTGTTTACCCAGCTGTTCATGACCATTTTCTTCTAATAATGCCTCAAAGATCATGCTTTTTTCCATGTTTCCATGTAATATCCTTACGTCCAATTCATGTTTGCATACCATATACATATGACATATATATAAAAAAGTGTGTGTGCACATATAGGTGTGTGTATATGCACACAGAGTGAAGCTTCCAAACAAAGAAGCTTTAGAAGTGAAGGGTGTTTTTGGTACAAATTCAGCTATCAGGTGAAACTGGAGCATTTATTTCCAAAGACAAATATACCCATTTAAGCTATCAGTATCCTACTTTGTCTTTTATTGGACAAAACAATGCCTCAACAGGCTCTCCTTCAGATTTTTTGTATTGGCCAAAGAAATGTCTGAATTCATAAAGCTCCTGCTGCGAGTAGAAACATGCAAACAAACATGAGGACAATGCATAATCAAACTTTGTTTTTATCTTAGAATCCATCAACAAGGGTTTCAATGGAAGGCTCCATCAACATCAGGATTTTTTCTAACATCAAGAATACGTCAGCTCTTATTTTATTGTTTCTGGAGAGTAATGGTACCGATTAATTGCTATTCTCTTCTAGTTCATTATACTTTTATCACAATTCAAACTGTGAATTGAATTTTTGTATGCCATTCTTCCATGCATCCTTTCATGCAACAGAAACATGACTTTTCAGAGAGCTGGCTGTCAGCTTCCCCCTTTCTATCCCCACAAATGCCCCTTCAAAGCTGACTAGCTTTTACACATTTGGGGGGTAAGTGTATTTGGGGATACACAGAGAATATATAATGAATTCACTGAGGAAAGATAAGGCCATCCAGAAACACTGGAAGATAAGTAACTGGGTCTACCTTTCAGCTAAGATGACAAAAGAAAGCCTGGAAAATGCCGTCAAATTGGGGAATAAATGAGGGCACATCTGACATGAAACTGAAGGCACGAATAGGACTAGATGGACAAAAAAACTCCAAAGACAAGTTAGAAGAAACACAGTAAGAGTGGGAGTAACTATAGAAGCAAAAACACTAAGTGAGGAGCAAGGTCAGTCAAGAGAGTGTGAATGAGAAACCTGACAAATAGACACAGGTTTAAAAAAAAAAAAAGATAAATTAAAAAGAATTCAGGTAAGAGAGAATTGTGTAGAAGACACTGCACAACAGAACTCAAGAAGCTTCTGATAGGAGCTTGTGTCAATCGCTGTTCCTTAACTGTCAACGAGCACACTTGCAACAGAGCAAGCCTGTCATTCGTTCCCAACAGTGCCATAAGGATGGCTGGTTTACTAATGCTATCGAGTCATTAGAGGGACATGGCTATAGAATAGAGCTAAAAATCAAAAAAGCTGAGGATGAGCTTATACCCAGGGCAGCATGCTGTCACAAGACACACGGATTTGTGGAGTTTGCTTGCTTTTTAAAAGAGAAAAGCCACATACAGTATTAGCCCATTGCAGAAAATGGTTGCCACTTAGTTCGTGTATTCAAATAAGGCTACAAAAATGACACTATTTCAGTTACTAATATTGTTACGTTATCATCTTATTTGGGTATGGCTGTTTCTTTAATATCCAAATGAATCTCACACTAAGTTTTGAAAATTGACAGATTTGGACCTTGCGGCCTGAAATCATGCAACCAAAGCAACACACACAACTTCACTAAATTGAAATAAAACAAACTGGGCTAATGACACAAAACACCAAAGCATCCTTCTACACTGGATTAATCAGATAAAGTTTGAAGAAAAAGAGAGTGTCATGGCTTAAATTACATCCATCACTTCTTACAGGTAGCTCAATAATAAAAGAAAAAAAATTCAATTTATGTATAATCTTGACAAATTTTATACAGTTTACCCAAAAAGTAAAGATCACTAATGAAGTGCAATAACTGGTAATTAAAATGTGCATAGTTATTTTTCACTTAAGTGAAAGCAACTTGAGTACAGTACAGTGAGTAGTAACCCAAATACATCAAAAGAAAAGGATGTTTCCAAATGGTAAAACAGAAGGCTAATTCTCCTGGAGAACACAAGCAGGCAGTTCCTTTGCAAACCCTGTGCTGCCCACCACCACCGAACACGCTGCAGTTTAAAAGACATTCCCCTGAAATGGCTAAACCAGGTGCTAGAAGTTTCCAGAGTGTATCTGTATACTACTACTTTAAATGCCAGTTTAAACAAAGTACACGTAGGCTTTAAAGCAAGCACTTTTACAGTGTAAGAGAAACAGTGAAAATTAATAGTAATTATTTGCATTGCAATAGCACATAGGACTCTAAAACATGGTTTCAGGTCATTCAGTGAAAAAAACACTGTAACAGTAGAACCACTTCAGCTTTCTGAGGCAGAAGTACAAGATAAGAACACCACAATGCAAAGTCAGCATAACAAGTTTATTGTTCAATACGTCAGCAGCAAACACCGTCTTTCTTTAATTAGACAAGCACCTTCATATCTACAAGATATTGATACTGCTTAGTTTCCTTTTAGTAACATTTCTCTAAATTCAAAAAAATCAGTCACCTCTGAACAAATGTGCCTCTCCGTTTTTTTAATTTGTATATTAAGAAATCTGTAAGCACATCTGAATAAACACACCTGTTCTGGAAAAAAAAAAATCAGACTAAATACAATTTAAAGTTATTCCTTTCCCTCTTTTACGGAGGGTCAACACTGAGTTCCAAAAAAATTCTCCTTTCCTTCGTCCTCTGGAAGAAT